TATATATATATATATATATAGAGAGAGAGAGAGAGAGAGAGAGGGGGGGAGAGAGAGTGTGTACTCTAACTAGTACTTATTTTGTCTTTTTTTTTATGTTTGTTTCGTAAATTATGACTCATTGTGAGTGTAAACTGTGACTCACTGTGAGACTCAGTGAGTCACAATTGAGGAGCCAACAATGAAAAAAAAACGGAGGGAGTATTGAGACTATACATATATATGTATTACTAATTGACACTATATATATGTATGTGTAATTTGATCGACACTATATATGGCATGCGTAATCTGATTTTTACAAAGAATAGTGAGTCCAAGTGATACCGCATGGTGGATTGTTGACTAGGCGGGCTTTCTTTGAAGAAAGAATTAACGCCATAGAAAGAGAGAAAATATATATATATATATATATATATATATAGAAAGAGAATACGTGATTTGAAAGGTTTTCATGTTTGATATATAGAAATTTATGAATTAAAAAAATTATTGACAGAGATACAAACAAAAAAACCACATCAGTCAACCAAAACCTGAAATTAAAGAGACATACCAAAAAAAAGAGCCTTTGGTTATTTAATTATTCAAAAGATTATTTAATTAATGCAGATAAAATAAACAGGTGGTTTGCACGAGTTTTGATTCGATACAACAAATTTACAATGCGATTTTAAATAATTAAAAAAGATTTAATTAAAAATTAAAAATAATAATTCAATCTTCTGTTGAAAAGTTATCACTTATTATAATTAAGGAAGTGAAGTAGTCCCATACCATATAATAATTTTTTCATTAGTGATGGTATTATGAAATTGTAGTATTGTAAAAGAAGCAACAATTATATTACGTGTTGCGTTGGATGAATTCTATTATTCGAAGTGTGATTGTCGATGTACATGTACGGGTGATGAAATAATGTGTAATGCATACGTTACAGATAAAAATGATAAGGAAGTATCCATCACCTTTCCTGGAACCCCTTTTTCTGTTGAATAATATCATTTTAAAGTTTTGACAATGACACAAAAATATATATTATAATTTTATTTTTTCTTTTTCATTTTAAATTGCACTTTCAAAGAAATACTAATAACCACACATTTAGAGTTGAATAACGAATTGAAACAAAAAGTATTCACAAGTACTGAAAAGAACACTAAAAAATATTACAATTTTCTTTTTTCCTTTTTTATTTTGAATTGCAGAAATATTGAAAACGACACATTAATTTGTTGTTGAAGTACGATAAATTGAAACCAAAATCATTCCCAAGTTTCAAAACCGACACTAAAAAATGTTGGAATTTCATTTTTTCTTTTGCATCTGGAATTGCTCTTTCAAATACATATTGAAATTAACACATTTAGTGTTGAATTACGATAAATTGAAGACAAAATCTTTCACACGTTTTGAAAATGACACTAAAAAATGTTGGAATTTCATTTTTTTTCTTTTTTCATTATTGAAAATGACACATTTGGTGTTGAATTATGACACATTGAAACCAAAATCATTCACAAATCTTGAAAACTGACGTTAAAAAATGTTGGAATTTCATTTTTTCTTTTTTCATCTGGAATTACACTTTCAAATATATATTGAAATTAACACATTTAGTGTTCAATTAAGGTAAATCGAAAACAAAATCATTCACATGTTTTGAAAACGACACTAAAAAATGTTAGAATTTCATTTTTTCTTTTTCCATTATTGAAAATTAATGACACATTTGGTGTTGAATTACGATAAATTGAAATCAAAATCATTCACAAGTCTTAAAACAACAATAAAAAATTTTGGAATTTTATTTTTTCTTTTTCCATTCTGAATTACACTTTCAAATAAATATTGAAATTAACACATTTAGTATTGAATTATGATAAATCGAAAACAAAATCATTCACAGGTCTTGAGAATGACAATGAAAAATGTTGAAATTTCATTATTTTTTTCTTTTTCCATGATTGAAAATGACACATTTAGTATTGAATTAAGATAAATAAAAAACAAAAGCATTCGCGAGAGTTGAAAACAACACTAAAAAAAAATGTTGGAATTTCAATTTTTTCTCTTTCCATCTGGATTGCACTTTCAAAGAAATATTGAAAATGACACTATTAGTGTTGAATTACTATAAATTGAAACCCAAATCATTATTGCAATTTCATTTTTTCTTTTTCCATTTTGATTGCACGTTCAATGAAATATTGAAACAATGCGCTTAGTGTTGAGTTATGTGAAACCAAAATCATTCACAAATAATGAAAATGAAACACTTTCAAATAATGTTTTTTGAAAAGTAGTATCGGAATTTCGATAAAGTGAAATCAATATCAATCACAAGTCTTGAAAATGACTTTTATTTATTTATTTATTTATTCCCATTATGGATTACACTTTCAAAGAACTATGCTGCGCAAAAGTATCCCAATTCTTTAATTGCATAATGAATACTATTTATCAAAGGAGAACAATTTGGTGAACTCTCTTCGGCCTAAGTTCGCAGCACAGCACGGAAATGGACAAAAGAGTTGGGCATCAGTGGCACATTCTCAACCCTCTAACTGGGAGCTTCAATCCTTCGAACCCTCAACCAAGAATGACTCGATTCTTGCGGATCCACCGGAAGAGATTAGGAGCAGTGGCCTGAAGTATTGGGAATCCTGCTTGGTGGGATCATTCAAGTGAAGAATGCCTTATAAGATTATCTTAGATCAAGCTCACATGCTTTGGGACTCCAGAGTCCTAAGGAATGTTGTTGCCAATTCTGAAGGTACTTTCTATTTCAAATTTGACTCTATTGATAGCTGCATTTCAATCCTTGCTGGGGAACAACGGTTTCTTGCTAGTAAGGCTGTCTCTCTTAGACTTTGGAATGACGATCCCTCTGCACAACCTCACTCTGATGCTGTGAAATCATTTACAATTTGGGTAAAACTGTTTAATGTCCCCTTTGAGCTCTGGTCTTCTATGGGGCTCAGTTATTTAGCTAGTGCAGTAGGGAAACCTATCCTGCTAGCAAACTCCACCACCCAAGAAAGGAGTAGATCGAATTGATTATGCTAGAGTCTGTGTTGAAATCTATCCACACTATACACTCCCTAAATCCTTCCCTGTAACCCTTAAATATGGTGATACTACTACTGTGAAGGTCCAATATCCATGGATTCCTGCTATCTATTCTTATTGTTCCTTTTTTGGGCACTCTAATGATCAATGTAGTGAAATTACTATCTCTCAGCCCATTAATGTTCAGAGTATCCCTGTACCTCCCAACTCATAAGAATGGCAAATTGTCACAAAAAATAGAGGTAAAAGCTATTGTCAACCAGTCCCTAACCCCTTCCCAAACTCTGACTGCAACACACAACTGGATGCATCAACTTCAAACCCTCAAATTGTGGCATTGCCTTCAAACCCTACTCTCCCTATCCCTGTCCTTCTTCAATCTGCTCTTAATATGCAGACTGAAAACGCTACTCCAATCATTGTTGATTGCTCCATAGTAGTACCTCCACAAGCAGTGCCTCATAGCCTCAATGCTCAGAGGACAAAGGCCACAAATACCATACCTCAGTTAGCTTTGAAACCAAACCTTAACCCATCATTGTCAGCTGAAAGCAAATCCTAAGACACATTTGACTGATGTACATCAAAACTCACATAAGTAATATGTGAATCCCTCACCTTCACCCCAGAATGGAATGATGAAAGCTATTAACTTGGTCATTGACCTCTCACCTCATAATCCAAAACCTCACAGTCCTACAATTGCTCCCTCTTCAGAAGTTAAGATCACTAATTCATTTCCTGCCCTTTCATATGATGATAACAATGAGGTCCAAGATTACTCAGAAAACCTAGCTTCTTCATCTGATGAGATTCTTCCCAGAACCATCATGACACTTAATATATCCCCATTAATTATGGATAAATTGATGAAACCTAGAAAACCATCACATACCAAGCATTCAAAGATTGCAAAAAGGCCAAAAGTCACCAAACCAGTGGCCAACAGTGTTTCCTTGAAGGGGTTTAGGGGTCTGTATAGCCTCTCATCCTCTTCCAAATGAATTGACATGGAATCTAAGAGTGTTTAACTCTACCCTCAAACAAATAAAGATTAGGTGTCTCATTAAAGAATCAAAGCTAAGTCTTTTAGCAATCTTGGAATCCAAAGTTTGCAGTAACAATATGCAGTCTATCCATCAGTTTATTGCCCCATAGTGGGAAATTTGATGTAATTACCTATCCTCAATTTTAGGAAGGGTTTGGGTCTTATGGGATCCTCAGAAAATTTCAATGACCAGTGCAGTGGAGCATGGTCAGGTAATCAACTGTGAAATTGAACTTATTGATCTCAAAAAGAGAATGTTGGCTTCATTTTTTTTATGTTGCTAACACCTCAGCGGATAGGAAATCTCTGTGGAGAACACTTAATTTTTTTTGTCTTTCAAGTGTGCCATGGATTTTGATGGGAGACTTCAATGTCTTGCTCCATGTGAATGACTCTTTTGGAGGAGCTCTTAGATGGACAACATGAATGTAAGACTTTAAGCACTACAAGAAAAACTGTTTCTTAGAACGCCCTTTTTATCGCGGTTTTAAAATAACCGTGGTAAAAAGTGTCTTTTACCACGGTTTTTTTAAAACCGTTGTAGAAATTAATATATTTTATCACGGTTATTGTAAAACCGTAGTAGAAAAACTTTCTATCACGGTTAATGAAAAACCGTGGTAGTAATTATACTTTCTACCACGGTTATAATAGAACCGTGGTAGAAAGTGAATTTATTTTACTTAAATTTAGGGCGTATTTATTCAGACTTTTATACTGCTCTTTTTATCACGATTTTTCATTAACCGTGATAGGAAGTTATTCTATCACGGTTCAGGCACGGTGGTAGAGAGTGAATTTGGATTAAGACTGTACGCGGGTCTCATTCCCGCTGCTTTCTTAAAATTTTAGGGCAAATCATTTTAGGCCACACATGCTAGGGCAAATCATTTCTGTTTCCCAAATCGCCTCCATCTCTATTCTCGTTCTCAACTCTGAACTTGCCCTAATCTACAAGAATCAGATCAGCCTCCCAAATCGCCTCCATCTCTATTCTCGTTCTCAACTCTGAACTTTCCCTCTCTCTGTCTCTGCAACTACAAACTACAAAATCTACAATAATCTGAACCCATATCGGCATATCATTTCAGATTGTTCAAAAAATCAAAACCCATATCCTTCAGTTTCCATCGCCCGCTGTTCCAGTTCGGGTTCGCCGTTCGAAAGCTTTAGCTTCAGGCCCGTTGTCTCTCAACTCTCAAGCCCTCTCTACTCTCTCATAAGGATGAGGTTGAGTAACGACTTGAAGATCAGTAATCGACCAAAATTACAGAACTCTACAGGTAAATTTGGTTGTATACTATGAAATGCGGAAAATGAAACAGGTATGTGCTTGTTTGCAATATTGCATTTTTGTGTTGTTCGTATAGAAGGAAATTAACATTCTTTTTGGTATTTATACTGCATTTTTTTTAATGTGGATCCTGAATTCCTATCGTTTTTCTTTTTGGTGTTTCACAGGACCAAGGTTTAGATGTGATAGCAGAAGGTCTAGACACGTTAAAAAGCATGGCCCAGGATATGAATGAGGTTTAATGTCTTTTCCTTTATTTTCTGTTTCCTTACAATTACATCATGTTAGATCATTATGTTATGCAATGGTTGCAGGAAATGGATAAGCAAGTCCCTCTGATGGATGAGATAGACACTAAGGTCAGAAATTTGTTCTTTTCTTGAAAGTTTTTGAAGCTGCAACGATTTTTAAAAAAATCACAGTGCTTTTCTTCTTATCTGACAGGTGGACAGGGCAACATCTAACCTTAAGAATACCAACGCTAGACTCAAGGACACTGTTAATCAGGTACTTATGTTGCAACTATGTTTAATTTAAATTTCCATCTATATTCAGCTGTGCTCTGTTGTGGATTCCTTTCCTGGATTTAACAAGAAGTTCTGTAATTTTGTTCCAGCTGAGGTCAAGTCGAAATTTCTGCATTGATATTATTCTGTTGTGTATAATTCTGGGAATTGCAGCCTATTTATACAAGTACGTTTTTCTTTCTCCATCGATGGAAGGAAAAGATATAATTTTGCAAAAAATTGACCTGCTTAGAGAAATTTAGTAGAAAATCTCGTGCATGGAAGGGTGAATTAATGAGCACTAGCAATCATCTGACTTGGGAAGATGGCAACTAGTAGCTTAACTGGTGGTAACTTGGTAAGCAAGGAAACAAGGACTTGGACACGGATACGAAAATAGATCCAGTATGATATGGCAAATCTCAAAAAAATAGGACATGGATCCAGTATGATATGCCTAAAAACAATAACATAATATATTATTATACATATATGTAAATAATAATTTTTGCTCATTTCACTAATTTGGAGCTTAGGGTTAGATGTCTGGATGGTAAGGCATGTTGGTTGACAGGTTTTAGTCTTCGAAGTTTGAGCTTGTCCTAGTTCCCATCCCTGATTGCCTATCCACCGCCACCACCCCCTGCCCCCCAAAAGTAGAAATATAGAAAAGAAGAAAGATATAAAGATATGAAAATGAACTGAGAGACCACCAAGGGCCTAGACCAAGGGTATCTCCTTGATATGCTTTGATATTTTTCTTAATTTACTTGCTTGAATTAGTAGTTTCTCAGTCTGATATCCGACCATAAAAGGGCCTAGACAAGGGTAATGGGTGTGTGTCTTACCTACCCCAAAGAAGTAAAGGGAAAAACTGAGAGTACTGGAGGTTAAATTCTACGCAATTTATATGCTTTGATATTTTTCTTCATTTACTTAGCTTGAATTGTTAGGTTCTCAGTCCGATATCCGACCATAAAAGTTTTTAACATATGAGATCTGTTCTATACTTGTTTGAGTTGAAGTTTTGTTGCCTGGTCAATTTTTTTATTTTAGTATAGATGAGTCATTCTAATGGAGTGTTTACTTACTTGCAGTGTCCTGAAATAGTAAAGTGATACCATGGGCAACGGAATCTTCTTGGCTTGATCTGGTATTGATTGGCTTGCATTGGTTGAGGTCTTGCTCTGTTCTTGATTTTGGATTTGATTTGTTTTATCAACGTTTATATCTTTGAGGTCAAACTTGCCCCCCTCTCTCTCTGCAACTGCTAACTTGTATGTATGAGTTTTGTTTTAAATTTTATTCTAAATCAACTAATCAAGGTCTGTAATTCTTGTTTTGCAAACTAAATCCTATTTAGTGAAATTTTTTATGATCTTTTATATATATATATATATATTTTACAATATAAAGTAACAAAATTTGCATTGCATTTTGAGGTAATCACGTAATCTACATTTTATTTCAGCAAAACAAATATATATGTTTCTGTTTCTATAACTTCTATTTCTGTTTGGATTTTTTTTTTTTTTTTGGTTGTTGTCAATTATGTCTACAAGAAAATTTGAAGCTGGGCATGAAAAGCGAAAAAAAAAAAAAAAAAAATCTGAATTGGATTAGAAATCTGCAGAGATTGAATCTGTAACAATTTTTATCAACATGCCAAGCTTTTTGAAGACGGAAATCTTTTCAGAACTAAAAAAATCATAACAAGAACTTTGACAAGCAAAAGTACTTAATATAGGGTAGTTGCTTCTTGAAAATTAAAATACTTACAAAAAGCATGCTTTTGAGTGAATTCTTCCATTAGTGTTGGAAGGGGCTTGCCATGAACTACGTCACACTCCGCTTCCACTAGTAGATTCTCAAATAGGATTAGTAAATTGGTCAAAAGAAGAGATAGGGTACTGACTGGTGAATTGTTTACAAATAAATTGGTAATTTTGTTTTTATTAATTACCCAAATAGGATTTTCTATGCCTTAATCAGTCAATTGTCTAAAGAAACATTGTTAATTAACTAAAATTGAATTAAACAACAGTTGATTTTGGTTGATATATTTTGATTTAGCCCACCCCATTGAGAAATCCTGGATCTGCCCTTGCCTCCACCGTCCACCCAGGCACCGCGTCATCACTCACTTTGTCTCACATATCTATCTCTATAAGCGTACTGATCTGTTTCATTGATTTTCAGCATCAAAATTGTCTGTTAAATGCAATTTTTTATTTTATCTTTATATAATACTTGTAGAGTTTTTTATTGGTTTCAAACTGATTTACTCTACGACTTCAATATATTTTCTGATTATTGGTCCAGTTCTGTTGGGAAAGGAAATTATATTAGAAAGCTTGTAGAGCAGCTGATATCAGAGATAATTGAGGTATTGGATGATTCAAGAAGTTGTGATTGGATGGACTGGAAGGTAGCAGTTGCACATTGGGTCGGTCACTTTGCTTTGTTCACTATCAGCAAGTTTTAGTTACTACCATATTTCAATGGTTGCTGTGATTTGTGTATGGCCTTGGACTTATTGTTGTCATGTTTTGTCAGTCTTCATGTTGTCTTTTGTTTTCTCCTCCACATTGAGGGCACCGTGTAATTATTCTATCATCAATACAAGCTTACCCTTAACTTATATATATATATATATATACTTAACATAAAAGATTATTGATTTTAAAAGTTTCAAACCACTATCTGTGTGTATTAGTGTGTGTGTATATATATATGAAAACTACTTATCAATAGTTAACATAAAAAATGATTGATTTACTACCCCCCCCCCCCCCCCCCCCCCCCAAAAAAAAAAAAAAAAAAGATTGATATTGAGAGTTTAAAACAATGTGTTTGTGTGTATATATATCAATGTTTATTCAACAAGGTTAACCAATGAATTAATGTTAACTGTAAAGCTTTGAAATTGTTTGATGTCTCATCTAGTTCGGGCCTGGGCTTGTGGCGTTGTTTTCTACCATTTATAGACCCATGGGCTTTCTTTGGACAGACTTCCTATTTGTATAGCTTTACAAGCTTAGATCTATATAAATCATTCACCCTGGAAAGGAGCCGAATTTTTCTTTTGCAGAGCTACAATTTGGTGGCGAACATTTTGTTGGCAAGCTAAAAAAATTTCTTTCAGTAGCAAGCCAAAAATTCCTTTCAACAACACCTCAGCAGTGAGCCAAATTTTTTATTTTTTATTTTTTTTCTGATTCTCTTTCAGCCACATGTAGATGGGGAGCCGATTTGAAATTTTTTTTTTTTTTTTTTTTTTTTTTTTTTTTTTTTTTTTTTTCAGCATTATCTTGACGACGAGATACAATTTTCCTGATGCAACTCCTCGACGGAAGTCAAATTTCTCTTTCAGCCACACGTCGACAGCAAACTGAAATTTTTTTCTTTCAGCAATACCTTGAAAATGAGCAAATTATTTTTTTAGAGACACTTCGGCGACGAGGAATTTTTCTTAACAGCTACTATCTAGCGATGTGCCGAAATTTTCTTTTCCAACCACACCTTGGCGATGAGCCAAAAAATTCCTTTACAACCACACTTTGTTGACAGGCTAGAGCGCAATGACAGGGTGCAATGAGTACTTTTGATGCTATGATGAGCACACTTTATCATTTTGATAGCAAGCCAAGCAGATAATGCGATGAGGACTTTTGATATCATGCGACAAGCAATTTACCATCTTTACAAAATTTTTTTTTTTTTTCGATTAAACTTGGAACAAACCTCCAAGATGCCTACGTACATGTGTATAGGGATCAGTTATCACGTAGTTCACAAATTTTTTTTTTTTGGGGGAGACAGTTTAAACTCATATCAAGTTTTTTTTTTTGGAATACAGTTTAAACTCATGCTAAAGATTTTTTATTTATTTATTTTTTTCCTGGGTAATTTTTTTTTTATTTTTATGTTTATTTTTTTTAAGACAGTTTATAGTTTTTACTCATATCAAGGAGTTGTTGTTGTTGTTTTTTTTTTTTTTTTTTTTTGATGCAGATAGTTTATACTCGTGTCAAGGAGTGTCATCATATATATATATATATATATATATATATATATATATTTGGCAAGCAGTTTATACTTTTTTATACTCATATCATAGAGTAGTTTTTTATTTTTTTTTATTTTAGGGAGATGGTTTATACTCGTGTCAAGGTTTATACTCATATCAAGGAGGTTTTTATTATTTTTACTTTTATTTATTTAATTTTTTTTTCCAGGTAGACAGTTTTTACTCGTGTCAAGGCGCGCGTGTTATCGACAGTTTAGGCTCATATTGGGGAGTACTTGAACTTCTAACTATTCTTCAGCTTTTCGGGTGAGAGTTGAGGTTCTTGGTGAGTCTAGTTTTGAGTTCGGACTTGTGACTAGAGCACCTTCTTCTTTGCCCCAGCGAGGCGAAGGCGATATGAGTTTGAGTTGTTACTTTGATGGATTTGGCGGAGTTGACTCACACTACATCGTGTTGCCTTTTGGTGGGAATGGATGCTTGGGCTATGTTTCGCAACATTAGACTTGTAGAGATGTCGATACCAATTTCGTATCTGCAAATTAAAGAACGAAATATGGAGCAAATAATAATTTTATTAATTTATAAAAATTGCTGAGTATTATATATCCTTTGTAAAATTCTTTACAAAAGAAATAACTTATCCTCTGATTCGATCTTCTTTGTTGATAAGATTCAAGAGCTGTTGGAGCTTAATCTTAAATCGATTTGTTGATAATCTTTTTCAAATATTAGTTGAGGAAGACCACCGATGATTTCTAATTGAGGGCTGACAAAACTTGATCTCGAACAATGTTTTTTGGTAATTCTTCAAACTTATTGAATTACAGAGAAAGAACAGCACGATTTTGATGTGCTTGTTGTTGAATTTGAGAAAGAACGACATGACTTTTGATATGTTTGTTATTTTTCGTCTTCAGAGAATTTGTTAAATTTAAGGAAGAATAGTACAATTTTGGATGTGTTTTTTAGTTCATTGCCTTCAGAGAATTTGTGAAAGAACGACATAGCTTTAGATGTGCTTGTTGTTCTTCTTCTTTCAGACTTGGGTGTTGAGAGAATGAATGTTTAACAGAGACTTTGTATTCTTTTTGAGTCTTTATCAGAGATTTTTGAATGTCATTCTTCCTCCTTTTGTGCCCTTATTTATAGACTTCTTAGATGAATAAGGTGATGACACATGTACTTTCTTGATAAACACAAAATCATAATAATATATATATTTTTTATTATTATATTATATAACTAACTGGATCGGATTAACTGAACATTTTAAATTGACTAAATTTGAGCTAACTGGACAATTTCAAATAGACATAAGACTTATCATTTTTTTTTTCCACTTTGAATTTGCATTCCTGACTTGTAACTCCTGACCTGTTTACTAACGTTTTTATTTTCTGATTTCTACCGTCAATTTCTAAAAATAGAAAGTAAAAGTGAAAATTATGTTTATTAACCTATTTTTGCTTTTCCCATATTAGAAAGTACTTTCACATTTTATGAAAGAAAAAGAAAGCACAGATTCCTCATTTTCTTGTTTTCTCCATTGTAGCGGAGGAATTACTTCCACTACTGTAGCGGAACTTAAACAACGTTATGTGTTCAGTCGTTTATAACAATACCCATAGTTCTCTCCCATGTCCCACGACGATGGCCACCACATGGGCAACCCTGACAAAGATGATTCGCCTCGCCGATCGGCATCGCTGATGACCAACATATCGGTGATGATGGGACTTAGGTAAATTATCTTTTCCTCATATCTGATTTTTTATCTCTCTTATCCTCAGGACAAAATCCCCTCTCTTCCTCCCTCTGTTTTCTTACCCTTAAATCCTTGTCACAAAATCATAGAGTTAGGCACACAACAACAACGATTCTGACGACGAAAGATTCCGACGTCGACAATGACAGTGACGACAACGGCAAAAGGCTCATCCAATTGGCGATGGCTATGAGTGCTATGATGGTGTTACGATGCCTAGACTCACTGACGTGGTTGTTGCGGCGAAGGGGTTCGGTGAAAGTTATGGGTTTGAAGATAATGGGTTGAGATTTCTGGTTTGATTGCCGATCTGTACCCTAACTCTCTGTATCTCTCTATGGTTTATTTTTATCTGCTATATATACTAATCAATCTTCCAATTTTGTGATGTACAATATATACGGTACTTTTCGAACATTATGGGACACCAGACCAGGTCGGATCAGGGAATCGTAAAGGGAGAAGATGAAATGGTTTCATCTCTGCTGGTTCACGTGAAGGGAGAAGATGAAGTGGTTTCATCTCTGCTGGTTCAATTGGAACTATAGCACAGAGAGGCTTAAATCTTTATGTACATGTAACAGAATTTTTTTTTTTATTAAATACACTTTCTGTGTTTTGCTTTCAAGTTTTGAAAAGAATTAGTAATTAATAAATATAATTTTACTTTCTGTTTTATGTCTAAGAAATCAAAATTATAATTTTACTTTTAAAGCAAGCAAAAATAAGAAAGTAAAGTGTTAATAAACAGGTTTAAGTATCAACCTCTTGATTTCCTTGAGTACGCCGAGTACCGTCACATTTAGATTGTGCAAATTTTTATTTTTAATAAAAAATAATGTTTTTAGTGACCCCACCAATCTGATAACTTGTTGGACTCATTCATATGTGAACTCCAAGTTAAACTTAGAAACGCAACACAGCCATCACTGATCTCCAATTGATGCGTCTCTTTTTTTTTTTTCTTCCTTTTTTTCTTTTCAATCATTCTCACTTGCATGCACTCTCACAGAACAAATTTTAATGATTGTTGCAACACATACAGAATACCAAAACTAAGATGATGTCCGTCGAGCTCTGTTAGTTTTTTTTTTTCTAAGGATTTTTCAAAAATAATTGACTAGAATCTTGTAAACCGAAACTGGGAATGAAATCGAGTGGCTTAAGTGGCAATTTTCTTAAGAGATGAGTTAATGTTTTTTTCCGACGATATTTCGACGAGCAAGAAATTGTTACAACATTGTGAGAAGAGGTGAAGACAAAGCTTGCAGGCCTATGCCTACATGATTTTTTCTCAATGCAATACCTCAACGGAAAGGCAATTAATCTTTTAGCAAACCTTGACGACAAGTTGAATTTTTTTTAACTTAGAGCAATATCTTGGCACTGACATGAATTTTTCTTTGTGCAATACGTCAATGGAAAGCCAATTTATCTCATGCAACACTTTGAAAATATGTCGAATTTTCCTTTGCAGCTACACTTTGGCGGCATGCCAATTATTCTTTTTCAGAGCTACAATTTGATAGCAATTATTCTTTTGCAGAGCTACAATTTGGTGGCAAAATCTCGATGAGCTAATTTTTTTTTCTTTCTGCAGCAAGCCAAAAATTCATTTCAACAGCATCTTGGCAGCGAGCCAAATTTTTTTTTTATTTTTTTTTATTCTCTTTCAGCCAAACGTCGATGGCGAGCCTATTTTTTTTTTTTTTTTAGCATTCCTTGATAACGAGATAATTTTTGTTTGATAATTCCTTTACAGAAAGTCAAATTTCTCTTTCAGCCACACATAGACAATGCATCAAATTTTTTTTTTTTTTTTTTTCTTTCAGCAATACCTTAGACATGAGCCATTTATTTTTTCAAAGATACCTTGGCCGCGAGTTAGATTTTTTCTCGACAGCTTCGGTCTAACGACGGGCCGAAATTTTCTTTTGCAACCACTCCGTGGCAACGGGCCAAAAATTTTCTTTACAAACACTTTGGTGACACTGACAAGGACCAAAACTTTTCTTTACAATCACACTTGGTGACACTGACAGGATGCAATGAGTACTTTTGATGCTAGCACAGTAGCACACTTCTATCATTTTGAGACGAGCACTTTACCATCTTTACAAATATATATATATATATATATATTGGATCGTGGAATAAATTAGCCACCAAGATGCCTACGTACCAGTGTACTAGGATCGTGTCATCAATTATCGATGTCATTGACCATGAACCAGACCTTCAATTGGAGTCTAATGATGAGAAATCAAGATGAGCTGATAGATAGAAGCATGAAATTAAGTGATCTTATTAACTCTTGCTGTTGAGAATAACCCTTTAATTTTTCTCACCCCTTAATTTGTCTTCACCGCCGTCTTAAAATTTTACTCATTGTTTAGAATATTCTTATAACCACCACTATCTTCACCGCAACGGCCGGGAATGTTTGAATTTAGTTGTTTTAACGGTTACTTCTTGTTTGCCTTGGATTGAATTCTAATTTCTGGGCTTCATTCCCCATATGTGAGTTGGGTTGGGTTGTCTTTGCTTTTGAACACCAAAAAAACTTTCCTATACATTCGGGCCTCAAACAAGAACTTGTAGCCCGTCACTGTAACTATGTCATTTATGGGTAAATTGGAAAAAAAAACTCCCCCACTACTATATAAAGAAATACCACTATTAAAAATAAAGTATATATAAATCCCTAATCATCAATTTTGATTGCAGTTGTACCAGTGAATTAGTGTACCCTCCCATGGTCACATCTAGTATGGACTAAACCATTCATACCCAAACACTCCTTCACATTGTAGTTTGCTATACAATTTCGTCTACCAACATTGAATAGAAAGTGCACAATATTTCTCAATTCTTCAATATGTATCCTTTGCAATAATTGAGTTGGAGACGCACTATATATCAATTATCA